ACAATGCTGCAACTGTCCCGCTTTTTAGAAGCGTATTGTTTCAAAGAACTGCACTTGGTTCCATACTAGGCAACCACATATGTATCAAACTCCATGCTGCTTCAGTGCAGCTTGAATGTAAACGCCTGCAAATCAAATCCAAATTAATCTGGAAACTAAACTCTAATTGCACCAATAACCCTGCAGGAGTGTATCAAGAAATAGTTGTACAAGCCCCCCAGGATTATGTAGGCTAATGCAGTGTAAAATCATGTCTTATCTGGTCATGCAACTCCCCAAGGAAATACACACACCTATCATCATCCAGCCATAGACTGCTAAATGTCTCTGCTACCTCTCAGGAGCCTCACAAACCACCAGTCACATGGAACTACAAACACAGGCTAAGATGGCTGCCCATCTGCTTCCTGCCTCCATTGCACAAAGTGTAGGCTATAGAGAGCAGCCCCATGACCCCTACTGGCTGGAGGAGAAACTGTGGCTCAATACTGCTTTAGAGAGACACAGAGCATGGCCTGGCCAGACCAAACAACACACTGCCCCCCCAGTGGCCACCGGGAGAATGACCAAAGAAATACTGCAAATGTAAAACCTACCATTCCCGCCACAAGACTCTAAATCATAACAGGAGTCCAAACTTCACTCATCACGGCAGGCTGTCATGCAGACCTTCAAGGACTTGGTCCCCATAATGTTGGGCCACTGCCTCGGACCTGTACAACACTCCGCCGGAAAACCCACTTTGGTCAGTATTATACTGCACCGGTTCCGTTATGCAGGGTCCAGTACTGTAAAGCTGCATTAAAGGCAAAATCCTAAGGATTCTTCTCCTTACCCAGTGATGCTCGTGTACCATCCATTTTGGCTAACAGCTTTCCAAATGGGTCCAATTAAAGTCCCTGATTCTCTAATGGAACCATTCCGGACCTTCAGATATGCACCAAGAGCACATGCAACACTTTAGAGACCATTCACCTTACAGACACTGGCAAAAAACTGAAGTATTTCCTGTGTAGGAGGGGTTGTATAGAGGACTTCCTCTCCGATTAGTCAGCCAGTGTCCATTCACCTATAGGTGGCATATAACTAACAGTCATGAATAGCCTGCTCTGTGTCCCGTGGTGTACGATAAAGAATGTAAAGAATGTAGATTATACTAGATTAGATCAAAGTATGTTATGCTATAAACATGGAACATTTTAAAGGTCACAATGGATAAATGACAAGTGACTCAAAGAGGAACATTTATCAAGCAATTTAGTGACAATATTATATGCAAATCAGGCTACCTGTCAGAAAGGTTTGTGATGGTTAAATCCTAGGCTGGCAGGCAAGACAGTTTTGGACACATCTGGGACAGATTTATAATTGATGAAACAGATTTTCACTCAAAACAGAAGCACAATAAAGAAGTGGCTATGGGGTAAATTCTGCCGCAGGGCTACTTTAGAGCAGAAAGTTAGGAATAGCTGCATAATTATAATACATCTATTTCAAACCTATCTCACTGCTCCTATTTAGCTACTGCTTTGCTGTGCGTTTGAAACTTATAAATGACAGAGTGGTGTGAGGCAACTCACTGCTGAAACGCATTGCCTCCCGCCGCCCGGGGGACGTCACGTCATTACACCCACACTGCATTCCACAGTGGTTTTAGGAAGTACGCCGGCGATTCCCACGCAAGCAGCTCTCCCAGAGACCTATACTGCGGATCAGGCGGTGATGACTTCCACTACTTACAGCAATTATTGATTCAGATGAGCCTGTATATTGGTTTTAATTGAGAGTGGCCATATGGCATTTCTATTAATAAACTTAGTGCATACTACATTAAGAGTCGCTTCCCTTCCCATTTCTGTTTTCTTGCCTTTATTTATGCCAACAATGGCAGCTCATATGGTGCAAAAGGTGGTAAGGTTGGATATTTAAGCTTCTATATAAATATGGAGGCTATTAACCACTTCCAGACCGAACACTTTTACCCCCTTCCTGACCAGGGCAATTTTCAGCTTTTAGCGCTATCACACTTTGAATGACAATTGCGCGGTCATGCAACACTGTACCCAAATGAATTTTTTACCATTTTTTTGAGATAGATAAAGATTTATTTTGGTGGTATTTATTCACCACTGGGATTTGTATTTTTTTGCTATGTAAATGAAATGTCCAAAAAATTTGAAAAAAAGTGTTTTTTTTTAATAAAATTTTGCAAATAAATAATATTTCATCATAAATCTTAGCCAAAATTTATTCCGTTATCTTTTTAGTAAAAAAAAAAAAATCCAAATTAGTTTATAAGCAAAAATTATAATTTTTAAACATTTTTTTTTATTTTTTTTTATTATTATTTTTTTATTTTTATTTTTTTTTTACATACTGTCACCCTAGCAGTACAGTGTCACCATGGTGACACTGTACTACTTGTGTGGGGTGATGAAGATTTTTTTTTTTTTTTTTTTTTACACGGATTGCTTTTACACCCATATAGGATATAAAAGCAATCATTTCTCTTTCTCTCTGTGTGCATTCTTGCACTCATTGAAAAGAACTGAGTGAGCTGTGATTGGTCATAGCTTGTCACATGGTACAAGGCTTTTGTGAATAGCCTTGTACCATGTGACCTCTGTGATCATTCACAGATTTCACACATAGTAAGCAATGATGTCAGAAGTGACATCTTGCTTGCTACTTTGCATGTGATCACTGATTGGCCAATCAGTGATCACATGATCGGGACCTCGTACAGAGGTCCCGTCCGACGATTGGTGTTTCACTGTGTCCGGAGGAGCGCGCACAAGCAGGGTGCGGGGAGGCCGTTTATAGACGGCCACCTGACCCTGCACTGCCACCGTCCGGCCGTTTATATACAACGGCCGGTCGGGAAGTGGTTAAGAATATTGCAATTTATATTCAGGACAATATACACCTGACTGTATCTCTCTACAACATCAAGAGATTACTAGAAACTACTGTGTTGAGTGCTGTCGTACATAGTGCTGTGTTGCACTATGAACATATGAGTTTTTCTCTGTTTTCATATTTAATACATTGTTTTTCTTTACTATTGTGAGTATTCTCAGTCTTACAGTACGTAAACCAGTGTGTGAAGCTAAGATAAGAAGGCAGAGAGTTGTAATCGCTTGATTTCACAGAGATACATGCAGGCGCATCCACTGACCTGACTATAATTTGAAGTACAATAATATATGGTAAGCAGCATTTCATGAGGTGGTATTACTATCTAAGGGTTTTTCACTGACCTGTGCGGCAGGAACTGATGAGTATTGGAATTTGATGACATTTATTTTCAAGTATTTGCACATAATGTTAAAAGTGATTCCTTAATGTTTTTGGTATTTCTATTTTAGGGCTATTCTTTTTTCGCAAATATTACTATCAGGTACAGACTGTTTTACTAACAAAAGCACAACCCTGAACTCAAATAAATTCACTAGCCACTTTATTATTAGGTACACCTTGATAGTACCAGGTTGGACACCCTTTTGCCTTCAGAACTACCTTAATTCTTCGTGGCATAGATTCAACAAGGTGTTGGAAATATTCCTCTGAGATTTTGGTCCATATTGACATGATAGCATCATGCAGTTGTGGCAGACTTGTTGACTGTACATCCATGATGCGAATCTCCCATTCCACCACATCCCAAAGGTGCTCTATTGGATTGAGATCTGGTGACTGTGGAGACCAATGTAGTACAGTGAACTCATTGCCATGTTCAAGAAACTAGTTTGAGATTATGTGAGCTTTGTGACATGGTGCATTATCCTGCTGGAAATAGCTATCAGAAGATGGCTACATTGTAGTCATAAAGGGATGGACATGGTCAGCAACAATGCTCAGGTAGGCTGTGGTGTTTAAATGATGTTAAGTTGGTACTAAGGGGCCCACAGTGTGCCAAAAAAAACATGCCCCACACCATTATACCACCACCACCAGCCTGCACGGTTGATACAAGGCAGGACGGATCCAAGCTTTCATGTTGCTTACGCCAAATTCTGACACTACCATCTGAATGTCGCAGCTGCAATCGAGACTCAGACCAAGCAACATTTTTCCAATTTTCTATTGTCCAGTATTGGTGCACTTGTATGAACTGTAGCCTCACTTTCCTGTTCTTAGAGGACAGGAGTGGCACCCAGTGTGGTCTTATGCTGCTGTAGCCCATTTGCTTCAAGGTATGTGTTGTGCATTCACAGACGGTATTCTGCATACCTTGGTTGTAACAAGTGGTTATTTGAATTACTGTTGGCTATCATCCCGAACCAGTCTACCCATTCTCCTCTGAATTCAACAAGGCATTTTCAACTTCTGCCTACTGGATATTTTTTCTTTTCGGACCATTCTCTCTAAACCCTAGAGATGGTTGTGTGTGAAAATCCCAGTAGATCAGCAGTTTTTTAAACTCAGGCCAGCCTGTCTGGCACCAACAACCATGTCACGGTCAAAGTCACTTAAATCCCCTTTCTTCCCCATGCTGATGTTCAGTTTGAACTTCAGTAAGTCGTCTTCACCAATTCTAGATGCCTAAATGCACTGCCATGTGATTGGCTGATTAGCAATATGTGTTACCAAGCAATTGAACAAGTGTACCTAATAAAGAGGCAGGTGAGTGTACATGGTTATTACAATACTGCATGCAGTAGTAAATGCTACTTGTAGGGATTTTATACACATTCTGGGTGCCTCTGTTTTATTAAGCAGTTCCAGCTCACATATGCAATACCCACACCAATGCCGACAAGTTTGGAAGTGAAGCAATATCATAGGACTTGTCTTTTATCCTATGCCAGTTGCCAATGTTTGTTACAAAAAAAAAAAAATATTCAATTTATAATGCAGTAAGCCACATGAATAATATCAGCAAATATTCTTTCAGCCTGTAGTAAACTAAACTTTGTAGAAGTTTAGGAAAACACAATATGGTTACTATGACAACTGCTTTTGTTAAAGAAAACCCACATTTTCAGAACTTTTCTCACCTCTAAGTCATTGAAAAATAAATGTGTATCTGCAACTTCAAAGATCATTTCCTCCATGGCTAAGCCTGATCCTACCACAAGGGTGGGGTCCTAAAAGAGGTAAGCAAAATAAAAATACATCAGATATAATTTATTACAATAAACCCAAGAAATTAAAGACAGAGTCAAAAAAAGAAATAAAAAAGGAACAGCTAATGAAATGAAGGAAAGCGATAAAAGTGATGGTCAGTGAATAAAAGCTAATATGGCTAACATAAGCCTGAACATCATTAAGGTATCATTCTCTTTTAGGTCACTTCCTACAGTTCTTTGATGCCATGTATTAGTTAAGTCTAATAGACTAAGAGCATGATGGCTAACACATTTGCCTTGGAGCTCATAGCCACAAATGAGAGTATCTGCATTGAGGTGGTACGTTTGTCCTTTTGTCTGCATGAGTTTCTTTTGGATGCCAAGCTGGAAAATTAATTGTCTTGGACCCAAAACTGGCCAAACAATGGTGTGCATGATTGGATATTAGATTGTAAGATCCTTGGCAACATGGGTCAAATACATGGGTATTTATCTGGTTACACTGGTTAGCTGTCCATAAATTCATAGCTAACAGATCAGACATTCTGAAACCAGCAATTAATTTAATTTGTGTTTAAAGTCAACTAAGGAGGATAAAAACATGAACACTTCCAATAAAGTCAGAAAGGTATGAACTCCTGTCCTGCAGGCTTTTTCGTATTATTCCATGGCTGCCATTCTGTTCCTGGCTAAACTATTTAGTGTACCAGTGACTTGGATCAAGTCAGTAATGGCAACTCCTATATTTCTCCCCTCATGTGTACTAACAGGTATTTTTAATTATTCATGCTAGTGTTTGATATAGAAGAGGGTTGTCCAACTGACAGTCTGTTGGGCCTTCTTTTGTGGCTACATTATACACAGCCAATACAGAGTGGAAGTGAGGTGCACAGTGTTAGAACACACAGGAATTCATAAATCGTGTCTATGGCACTTTTGAGAATTTCATCATTGTAAAACAGGTACATGAATTTGTAGCAAGAACCACTGCAAAATGTGTGGCAAGCACTGAGACTCAAGTGTCCATAGTGACACTCCAACCTCAGGGCAGCTGAGCTCCCTCCCATTACTGCAGTGTCACACAGACCACACAGCAGTCAAGGATTTTTAGAACTGGGTAGGCAGCCTGAATGGGGTTTTAGAGACTATTGGCACATCAGGCCCACTTCTTGTGATTGATAGCAGGCAGTAAACAGATCCATAGCTAATAGACAGCCTGCTATTAGTGAAAGAATCACCCCACTGTCAGCTGTCAATCACAATGAGAGAATGGACTTGATAGGAAACTAGTGTCTCAGCTTCCACATCAGGTTCTGCCCACTGTCAGCGTCACTGGTTGCTAGGAGGCTGCTGACTGTGAAGCCAAGAGCATCCTTAACAACCAGTGATAGGTGGGGAGGAGGTAGCAGCAGCAGGAAATATTCCACATGCTACAAAATATACAGACAGGCACACAAATTTACACTTCCAATTTTATTAACTGCAAGCAGGAAGGAGTTAAAGTATTTCTAAATTTTGGTACAGTAGTAATGCCAGTTTGTAAAAGTGACACTATTGAAAACTACCTGAATTTATCGAATGTGTTGGTAAAACCACTGAAATGGTTGGCAGGGATTTCCGAATCTGACTCAGGCCACAATGCCAGAAAAGCGTTGTTAGGGCCTTACTGAATTCCCTCAACTCTGTGTTCTAGCCACCAGCAATTCCTGTTGGGATGATGCGGTCTCCTTACAAACAGGCATAGTAGAGTTTCAGCCAGGGGACAGAGCAGCACGGGAGCCTGGGCACAGGTAAGTTATCAGTAAACACCAATGACCAGAGGTTTGGTTTTTTTTTTTTTTTTTTCCTCCCACTAAATACCAAGGAATGGGGAAAATGAATTGCTGCCACTGACACCAGTGAAGGGGGGAGGAGTTTAATACTGCTGTAACTGACACCAATTTAGGGGAGTGTTACATAATAGCAGCCACTGTCACCAGTGACCAGGAGGTGTGGTTTATTATAGTTACCACTGTCCCAAATCGGGGGAGGGCTGTTTATTATTCCTGCCACTCTCACCAATAAAGTGGAAAAAGTGGGGCGTGTAGGGAGTTATCATGGTTGCCAATCTCACCAATGAAGGAGAGGGGAAGATTGCTGCCACTGTCACAGATAAAGAGACGGCTGTTTATTATGGCTATTATTTCCAAAAAAGGAAGAGAGGGAACATTGGCAAAGGAGTTATTATTGTTTCTTCTGTCATCAATGGAGTTTTTAATGGGGCTGCCTCCTGCAACCAAACCCACAGGAGTTTTTGCATTTAATCAAAAGCAGGATGCATACGCAGGTGTGAATGCACCCTAAGTTGGACACTGGTAATGAAAAATATTAACAGTAAACACTGCAAAAAATAAATGCACAACTTCCAGTGAAAGGGATAAAAAAAAAATTAAAAAACAAAAATACAAAGATGTTCTGCCATACTCCCATCCATTACATAGAGTGTGTTTTACAATGTCAGCATACAGTCAGGTCCATAAATATTGGGACATCAACACAATTCTAAACATTTTTGGCTCTATACACCACCACAATGGATTTGAAATGAAACGAACAAGATGTGCTTTGACACACATACACCTACCTCCTGGAGAGTGTTCTTGATCTGGCCAACTGTTGTGAAGGGTGTTTTCTTCACCAGGGAAAGAATTCTTCGGTCATCCACCACAGTTGTTTTCCATGGTCTTCTGGCTCTTTTGGTGTTGCTGAGCTCACCGGTGCGTTCCTTCTTTTTAAGAATGTTCCAAACAGTTGTTTTGGCCACGCCTAATGTTTTTGCTATCTCTCCGATGGGTTTATTTTTTCAGCCGAATGATGGCTTGCTTCACTGATAGTGACAGCTCTTTGGATCTCATCTTGAGAGTTGACAGCAACAGATTCCAAATGCAAATAGCACACTTGAAATGAACTCTGGACCTTTTATCTGCTCATTGTAATTGGGATAATGAGGGAATAACACACACCTGGCCATGGAACAGCTGAGAAGCCAATTGTCCCATTACTTTTGGTCCCTTAACAAGTGGGAGGCACATATGCAAACTGTTGTAATTCCTACACCATTCACCTGATTGGATGTAAATTAAAGCTGACAGTCTGCAGTTAAAGCACATCTTGTTTGTTTCATTTCAAATCCATTGAGATGGTGTATAGAGCCAAAAATGTTAGAATTGTGTCGATGTCCCAATATTTATGGACCTGACTGTATTTCTATTGGCTCAAATAGGTTTCTTAAAATAAGCATGATATGGTTTAACAAAAAAAAAGTATCTACAGCATACGAAACATGGCATTAGCACAGTACAATGACTAAGCATTCTGGGGCATGGCACAAGTCTTTGTGACAGAACCTGTTAAGCATATGGACCTAATCATACAAGTAGGCTTAAAATAGCTGTATCAGCACAAAATCTACACGGCGAACATAAACAACTTACAAATATCCAGCTGAAAGCTACGTAAAGTGAATCTAACATTTGTTTGATAATTCCAGTTAATGGTGACAAGCAACAACAGACATGAAGAGTGAATATTCTAATCTGTACCTTTCCGTATTTTTGTGCATATGAACCCGGTGAGCAGGGAGTGAAAGATGATAATGGTCTCATCTAAGTCCCACAAAAACACACGCTGGGGAAACAAAGAGAAATATATGCAACACAATCCTTATAATGTTCAATAACAGGCATACTGGTCGAAATGAGAGGAGAAGCAGAGGGGTCTACTGCAATGAAAATATGGCAGAGTGATTAAATGGATTTAGGAAATTACACTTCTAAATATTATCAAATTTATTACAGCTGCAATGATAAGAAGAGTGACAGTCTCGTTGAATAAAAATACACAAGCTCATCTAGTTCAACCTATAAAAATGGGGAAAAATGTATACAGTCCTATACCCACAGATGATACAGAGGAAAGAAAAAAAAAAAAAAACAACAGGCAGGCTCTTTATTGCAGAAGAGACATGCAATTATTTTTTCTTCAGTTCCAGTCAAAAGCTTTGAAAGCCCAAAGAATCTTCATATCCATCAATTCTAGTACTGTTCAATGTCCGTATCTTTTGCCACATGCTACAGTGCAATAGTCCAGCCCCTATGTCACTACTGTATCCTTTAGTGACTTGCAGGACAGGACAGGCTGTCAACAGCGAGCCAACACATTTCACCATGTGTGTAAGATGTGAAAATTTAAGAAAATTACACAAAGTTATTTACATGCTTTTGCCATGGACAAATATGTACAATCTTTGCTTAAGGTAACTGGTGTGTCCACTCTTAGACTTCAAAAACTGCACCTAAACCTTTCTGGTAACTTTCTGGTCGGCTTGGGGAAAGTTGCCATTCTTCCCTACAGACAACTTCAACTCAGGGATTTTTGTTGGATCCCTCAAATTAACCTTTTAAAAAAACAAATAAATAAAATAATAATAATAATAATAATAATAATAATAATAAATACACCTTTTTGTGAGTAAAAAAAAAAAAAGTGCATTTTTTATTTATTTTTTTTACCTTGTAGCATGTAAGGCATTGCACTCACGATCATCAAAGCGCAGGTGAAACGGCAAGGTCCTGCAGACACTCAGTACAGCGGAGTGCCTGAAAGATACTGAAGTGCAGGAAGAAGCAATAAACTACGAGAGCACTTACAAGCACCCTTGTGGTTCATTGAGAACTACAAACCGCCGGACACCATGGCTGATGCTACTTGTAGTTCATTCACAGAACTCTGTAAATGAATGACATGGCCATGTGGGCGGAGCCCTGCATGGCCACACTGCTTTTAAATTCTGGCAGAGGGTGAGGGGAGAAGATCCCCCACCTGCTGTCATAAGGAGAAGGGAATCAGGTAGAGAGGTGGCAGAAGCTGGAACATGTTCTATGTTCAACCATAAATTCAAGTGGAACAAGTTCCAAAGGTGAATGTATCCTTTAAGGTCAAGATTCCAAATTAGTAACTTTCTTCTGCTTTAACTGTTCTTTGGTAGATTGTGTCTTTTGTGTTCAGCATTGCAGGTTTGCGGCACAACATATTTTCCTTACAGCTCATGGATGGATAGTTTGATATTTTCCTGCAGAATTTGTATGCACAATTCAGTATTCTAACTTTCAGGAATGATAGCAAGCCATCCTCATCCAAGGACAACAAAGTAGGCCCAAACAATGCCACTGCCACCACAAAATGCTGCAATTCAGTGTTTGCCATTTCGCCAAACAGAATTCTTTAATCCAAGTCTCCTACATTCACACAGCTTTCTGACTTAACCACATGGTCTTCAGGAAACTGCAGACAGGTAGAAATATTGTTTTTAGAAAGTAGAGGCTTTCTTTCTAAGAAAAAAGCAACACAAGAACTTCCTGGTGCTCCAAATCAAAAACTGATAAATCACGGATGGAGGTATTGCTGCTGACAGTCCACTGTTTGAGGATCCTACGGTAATAAACAAAGAGTTTAAAAAAAACAAAAAACAAAACCGCAAATACTACCATCCAAGACCAAAAAGGCTCTTAATTTGGACAAACAATATGAAAATGAAAAACAAAATAAAACTGAAATGGATTCTAGCTTAATTAACTCACATTCCCAGCAATACACACCAATGGTCTATAGAAACTTATAGGACAAGTCCTATATGTCAGCTTCAGTAATGGGAGTAATATACAGAGCTTGGAATAGCTGCACAGCCTGCAGTCTGTTTATGTATAAACAAGCAGTATGCTCTGGATATCCATGGCCACTAGGGGGGAGATATGGAAACACAGAACACTCTACTTAGTATGATAGCAATTTATTGAAAACAAAGTATCCACTTACATTACACATGGAGATGAGTGCCCGGAAGTGGAGTCAAAACATCCACACACATTGTTTAACTAATTTTCAGCTCTCATTTCCAGGCATAAAAAGGTACAAAGAGTGGGGAACAGCAACACAACAAGATCAACACAGAAACACAGTCAAAAGGACACATGTGCATTAGAAACGAAACGCGTTAGAGAGGTGCCAACCCACATACAGGCCTTAAGTCCACATGGTTTACACGTCTGACCGGTGGCCATTTTGGATTCCTTTGGCTTTTTACTATGTAAGTGTATTACTTGTTTTTACTACACCTTCTGAATAAAATACATACAACACTATTGGATACTTCTTTCTTGGGCTTGTTTATTCTGCGAGCCCCCAAGGTGACTCCTGACACACGAGAGTGCACTATACACCCCCCTGGTGGTTGATGACAGAAGGCGATGCCTGACACGAGTGATCGTGGAATATCCCTCCGACGGCTGCCAATGGTACACCTGGAGACAAGACAGAGTTTTTGGAGGTTGCTGAATTGATGACCACCCTTCCTACAGTGTCCCTCATCCGGTGACCAGGAGTAGGTCTGATTACTCCAATGCGCTATTCTTTGCGCTATCTGGTTAGTGCAATCAACAGTCACATTCTATACAACAGATGTCACGGATTTCCTATGTCACCTTGAATAACCCATTGATATATTGACTTTGGCACCATTGTCACTATACGCGCTATACTTCATTTCTAGGATACCTGAGTCTAATTCAATCATTGGTTTCCGTACCAACCCCTTAATTGTTTATATGCATCTTTTACATTTTATTTGTTTATATTTGTTTTAGCGCTGCATATTTCATGTTTTAGCTATTTATCCGGAGGCCTTTTGAAGTTTTGCCTTTTATGCTAGCGGCTTTATTACCTTTACCACCTTATCTAGCGTTAGTTTTACTCTACTTTTATATATGATTACATGACTATATCTGGAATGTCTGAGTAACTTACTAGGAGCGAACATGTTTAGATGTTCCAGGCTGTTTTAAAAGACAATAATAGTCCTGAGCAGCATATTTTGTGATCAAGGTCCCCGTCCTTCTCATGGCCATAGTACACTCTATATACAGTAAGTGATTCTGAGTTGGTGAATGTCAGGCTTGAGAAAGAGGGTGGCACCCTGGAAACTGTTCCCTGCTCAGGAGACCCATGGTTACAGGAAAGAAAATCCTATCATCTTTGGCTTGCCTTAGTGGAGCATTCTGTGTTTCATATCTCCCCCTAGTGGCTATGGATATCTGAAGCATACTGCAGGCTGTGCAACTCTTCCAGGCTCTGTATACTACTCCCACTACTGGAAGTGAGGTATGGGGCTTGTAATGTATCCAATGACAATTAGCGTGTATTGCTGGGTCTGTTAGCTTGTGGAACTTTGGGGGTTAGATAGTGTTATTTACACTTTTGTTGGGTTTTTTTTCTGCCTTTCGCCTTGCAACCCTTCCAATGCATACCATTGTTGTTTAGTGTTCTAATGGTGGACATATGACACTGAAATAAGGGTTTTACGTTCCCTAGATGTTAACATGTGGTACTTTGAGATCTCCTAGAGCTTCGGTGTCAAACCTTTTGACCTTCCTGGGCCACACATAAAATAAACTAAACAGCAAAGCTTGGTACACACGCTCCAAATATCAGCAGTAACCAGCCAACATTCTGTATCTGTGTACAGCTGCCTGTCCAACAACAGAACAAAAAGAAATAAGTATGTACCCAACTTAACCGCTTCCATACAGGGCACTTTTACCCCTTCCTGCCCAGGCCAATTTTCAGGTTTCAGCGCTCTCACACTTTGAATGACTATTGCGCAGTCATACAACACTGTACCCAAACTAAAATTTCATCAATTTTCTTCACACAACTAGAGCTTTCTTTAGGTGGTATTTAATCACCACTGGGGGTTTTATTTTTTTGCTAACAAAAAAAACAAATTTTGAAAAAAAAAAAAACAAACATGTTTTTCTTTGTTTCTGTTATAAAATTTTGCAAATAAATAATTGTTCTTCATAAATTTAGACCAAGATGTATTCTGCTACATGTCTTTGGTGAAAATAACCCAAATTAGGATGTATTATTTAGTCTGTAGGAAAGTTATACAGTTCACAAACTATGGTATAGATCTGACAATTGATAAATCCTGAAGTACTGACGGCCAATATAATTTCTTGAGGTCCAAGAATGTCAGAACAGTACAGATATCCCCCAAATGACCCCTTATTGCAAAGCAGACAGTCCAATGTATTTCGTAACAGGCATGGCAAGTTTTTTGAAGCTGTAATTTTTTTGTCAAAATTTTTCGAAAATGAATAAAAAAATTATTTTCACCATTTTTTTTTTAACATACTGTCACCAGTGCAGTACAGCATCATCATATAACTGGCATGGCGGTGATCAGGGACACTGACTGGTGACAGTACGAAAAAAAAATGTATAATTTTTTTTTTTTACTACATTTTTTTCTCTTTTTTTAAGATTTTTTTTTTTTCATATTTCACTATGAGCGAAGTAGTATAATGTTACCATATAGTAACATTGTACTACTTTGGGGAAGTGATCAGTATTTATTTATTTATTTATTTTTTTTTTTTTTACACACAATTTTCTTATAGCAAAGAATTTCTTTGCTAAAGCAAGCATTTACCTGAATGACAGATTCATTCAGGGGTTTTTTTTTGTGCTTAGCTGTGATTTGGCCACAGCTTGTGCATGTGATCGCTGTGACCATTCACAGCTAGCCACACTAGCATACAATGGATGGCATGAAAGGAAGCCATCCATTG